GTTGAGCAGGATGCTTAAAAGCAGCCACACCCTGTATCACCAAAAGAGTTCAGTACAAAACTTTATTAATATCAACACTGCAAAACTATAAAAGTGAACATAGAGAATCTGAGCGGGCCTGGAGCCTGTCCCATCCACCAGCCTCTGGGACAGCAGCAAGGCCCCAGGCAGCCTTGTAAACAAACTAGAAAAAAAGCAGAACTTTTAACAGCAGCCTTGAGATTGGGCTCTGAGCAGAGGTGTTTGGAATTCCTCCTTTATGCTTTACAATGCTTTTATCTAACATTCTGAAGCACGCAGGCATAGGTGAGAGAAAAAATTACCTGCTTGGTGGCAAGAAAAAAACCTAGAGCTCTGAAAATAGAACCTAGGGAATCAGCAGGTTCCCAGTTCAGTGCTGCTCTTGCATCCTGTGAGGCAGAGCCCTGGCATCATCACGTGCTTCGTGGTCTAGGTAAACAGCTGCAAGCACAGAACAGGCCAAGCCTGAGGTTGTGCAGATGCATGTCTTGCAAGAGGCTTGCCCCTGGGAGAGGCTGGTGTTCCCTGGGCCACCCAAGGGACCCGTCCCCTCCCTCTGTGGACATTCTGCCTTCTCAGGATATTTATCTCATTCCCAGCTCAGTTTGACTAGAACAGGCTGGGCAATGTCATGAGCTGCTCCACAGCAGACTACAGGAGATGGTAGCCTCTGACAAGTGGCAACAAGCAGATGTGGCAGCCTGGAAGAAGTAACTTCAGCAGGATCTGAGAATATCCCTGAAGTTTTCCCAGTGCCTCAGAAAATGGGTGGTAACTCCACTTGGAGGAAGAACTGACACTCTAGAAGGGGAAGCAAAGAGAATCAGGGAAGCAAGACGAGATCCAGGGAGGTAGGACAAAGTAGAAGTCTAATGCCCTGCATGGCTTATACTGCCCATTGCCAACTGCATTTGTACCCTGTGATCCAGAAAGGATCAAAACCACCCATCACTTTTCTATATCCTTCCCTTTTCGCTTCCTTTCCTGGGAATAAGAGTCGCTGTATTTTGTTCCCGTCTCCTCCAGCTTGAAAGGCAGTAATTTAGCTCTCAGTTTGCTTGTCCCAGGGTTTCCCTGCCTGGAGAAACTCCAGCTTCCAATCCCCTGTTCTGCCATGGCTTTCAAAAGATGTTCCCGTTTCTTGGCCACGATCTCCTCTCGGCTCCAGACCAGGATATTAAAGCCTGCAAGGGACAAGGAAACGTCGTGTATCAGGATCTCTACAACAAGTATAATGTGAGGTGGGGTCTGTTCTCCCAAGTAACAAGTGATAGAAGAGGAAACAGCCTCAAGTTACATGAGGGGAGGTTTAGGTTGGATATTAGGAAAGTATTTTTCACAGAAAGGGTTGTTAAGCATTGGAACAGGGTACCCAGGGAAGCAGTGGAGTCACCATCTTTGAAGGCAGATGTGGTGCTGAGGGACACGGGTTAGTGATGACCTGTCAGTGCTGAGCTAAGGGTTGGACTTGATGAACTTACAGGCCTCTTCAAACCAAAACAAGTCTATACTTCTACTGCAGATGCTATCTCCACAGCCATGGAAATTTGATCTCATTAAGAAACATAATCAAGTAATTCCTAATCTCATCTCTCACAGGTCTAAGACCTAAACCTAGAGGTAGCTCCCTTAATCCCATACAGCCTGAGAAAACCTGAGTCCTCTTGGCTTTGTAGCCTAGGAAACTAGATAAATTAAACAAGGGAGAGGGTACAGCCAAGCAGGGAAAGGTTTTTCCTCCATGGTGTTCCTCTGCTGGGACATGGCTGGGCAGTGGCAGCAGCTCCCTGCTGCAGGGGCTTCTCACCCCACCAGGCTCCATGCTCTCAGGAACGTGATGACTAGCAAACTGTTTTCTAACTGCAAAGGCAGAAGACTGAAAAGAAGGCCTTGATCTCTTTCACAGATAGAGAAAATTGTAAAGGACTATTAGCAAGCAGGGTTTGGGAAATCCTCACTCACAACTTGTTTTAGTGTGGATGAACAAGCCTGCCCTTTTCTGGGATTGGAACCCACCCATGCTGGGTGCCCCAGGTTCTCTTTACTCACCCATCCCAGAAGCAAGCGTGTCTCCCATAGGGTTAAATTTGTTGAGCTGAAAATAGAAACACAATCACAGTCTGTAAGAGCATCACTGCTTATATAACAAAGTCATATGAGCACCACAGCTTATATAACAGCAACAAACCATCTGGAAAACCCAGTGCTCCCAAAAGAGTAGCGCAGAAAATCCACAGATGACCAGGGACCAGCCCTGTCTGAGTCAGCAGCTTTAACGGGCAGCCACATCCTCACAGGAGTGTGTGTCCTGAGCAGAGAGGACACTCCCACTGTTCAGTCCTGCACTCCAACACCCCCAGGTCCTCTCAGGCTCAGGGCTCTAGCTCACCGAGATGATGCCGGAGGCGTTGGGGTCGTGGAGCTGACAAACCATCTCCCCGGTGTTGCCATCAAACACGTCCACTGTTCGCAGCTCGTTCACCGTGTACCCCGGGAACTTGGGGTCCGGGTAGCGACCCACCACCACCAGGTCATAGCGAGGGTGCCACGCTGCCTGTCACAGAGCAGAGACAGGGGCAGAGCTCACACCGGCACTGAGGAGGAGTCTGCACGTCCCGCCCACCGCTCCAGGAACGCGGGTATCCTCAGGACGGCGCTCTGCTGGGAGCTGCAGCAGTGTGCACGCCCACCCTCCAGCCCGGCACCCCCACCCTCCAGCCCGGCACCCCCACCAGCCCTCAGGCCGTTTCAGGCTTCACCTTAATGGGCGTGAGGTGCTGAAACTGCCGGTGCGGGTGGGGGATCAGGTGCTGCGGCTTGCTCCAGTCGGAGGAGGAGTAAATCCGGATCTCGCTGCGCTGGTCCGTGCTCAGCAGCTTGGCGCCATCTGTTGGGCTGAAATAGGCTAGGAGAGGGAGACAAGGAGTTGGGATTTCTGTGAAGTGGTAAAACCACAGCCAGGAAACAGAGGTTTGAGTCCCACACGCTCTGCTTTTGTCAAAGGAGCCGTCCCAATCAATTCAGTTCTCTAACCTCAGGCACTGCTGATGCTTCCACACTCGCATCTCGAGGCACAGTGCCATGGTCTGTACAGCAAGTCTCAGAGTGTGCTGCAGCTGCCCTGTCCACCTCCCTCCCTCTGGCCACCTTCCCAAAGCCTTCCTTGCTTTAATTCAGCTGCTGAGCAACCCTCAATCTCAGTGAGAGCTGACACTGCCACAATAAAAGCTGAGCTGACTCTCTGAAGACATCCATACAACCAACACCTTATCTCAGCTCACCTGCATTGACAGGTTTTTCATGAGGAAGCACATGAAGAAAATTCATTTTGTTCTTCATGTTCCTGAGGTCCCAGATTTTAACTGTCTGATCCACAGAGGCTGTGGCCAACAACCATTCACATCGGGAGTTAAACTCCACATGAGTCACTTTCTTCTTGTGCAATTTCAGCTTCCAAATCTGCAGCAGAGGAGAGAGAAAATCATACAGAAAAAAAAAACCTCAACACCTGGATGAAGGAAATGGAATAATCATCTACTAGTGCAGAGTAAAGTGGTCTCACATTTTCAGAGAGTAACAAAACTTCTAAAATACACCACCAAGAGTTTATGCACTGAAAACAGGATAAGAATGAGCTTGGAAACTAATCCCAGGATGCTCATCCACCATTTTATTAGAGCTATATGAAAGGAAAACACAATCCCTGGCTCATGGTGGGAAGTATCAGTGCCACTGTACAAAGCAAGATCCCATCTGGAATATTTTATGCAGTGCCAGTCTTCCACCTGCAGAAAGATTAAAACAAACTGTAACAAGCAGAGAAAATGTGCTGCCAAATTAAGGAAAGACCTGCCTTGTGGGAAGGGACAAGAAGGGCTTGCTTTGTTTATCTTGCTAAGACACATGAGAGGAGATACAACTGGCTTCTAGAAACATCAGCAAAGAAACAAGAGGGTAGGAGAAATCTTTGAATGAACAAGATGACATGGATATAAACTGGCTATGAATAAATTAATATCCAAAGCTGGAATATTATTTCTAATCAATAGAGTGCAGCTGGCCCATGCTCCCTGCAGTCATGGGTATCTCCCAAGTGCAGAAAAGACCATCACATTCTTTCTGGAGGAAGGAAAGGAAGTAAATAACACTGAAGGCAGGCTCTGCCTGCCCTCTCGTGTCTAAAGGCAGGAGTGCAATTCCCCTGCCAGCAGTCCCCAGGTGACCTGCTAGGCACCTATTCATGGAGGGGTATCCATCAAAGCATCTCCTAAATTACCCCTGTTAATGCACTGAGTTTCTGGAAGTGTGAAGTTTGTTGGCAGAGGGTGATCATATCATCGTGTTACCCTGTCATTACTTTGGACAGCAGTAAATACTGTTAAAGAAAGGAGAGCACTGGGAATCATTGGAAATTATTACCATTACACTCAACAGTGTGAAAATGTCTAAGGAATGGCAGAAGTGGAGGACTTCTCACCACCCAGACAACGTGGGGATTCACCTCCTGAACCACAAAGTACTTGCTCCTCTTTTCAGGGTCCCCATAGTGTAGGAAAGCCACGAAGATTCCTGCAGAGGAGACGTTGCCCCAAGCCATACAAACCTCTTCCCCAGAAGTGCTGAGCAGGACCACGTTGCCCATGTTATCCCCTGTCACCACTGCGCGGCTGCTGGCAGAGACATCAACGCTGCAGTACCAGCAACTAGAGGGAGAGACACAAAGTCAGTGCTGCCTCCCAGGGGCAGGAGAAGGCAGCAGAGCTCCACCTCACAGCTCGTCCCTCACAGGGCAGACTGCTGTGGGTTTTAGGGGCAATCTCCTGCCCGATGGGTGGGCCCGAGTATCAGGAAGGGGGACGTCTTATCAGCAGTGCTTTCTGTTGGTGGCTGAATGTGAGATGACTTCCTAGTCGTTTGTGAAGGGCTCAGTGGATGGAATGTGACACAGTGGATCATAACAGAGGCTGAAAAGCCACTTGGTGCCTGCATTGGGACACACCTTGGGAAAGATCAGAACACCCTTATGACATGGACAAATGTACAGACACAGCTCTCAAATCAGATTTTCCACAAAACACTGAAGCAGCAGTAAAGACAAGAAAAGCCTTGGCCTGGAAAGTTGCACATCAAACTATCTCAAATTCAGGCTCCAGGAAAGAAAACTTAATCTGATAAAGACACATCTCTTAACCCCAGCTCTGCAGGATATTCTACAGCAATAAAGCTAGGGTCCTTTGGGAACTTGTTGGGAAAGCTTCACTCACAAAGGTAAATTATTCTGGAATTCAAGGTCGTGGAAATCAGCATGATAAGCCTGAAGCAACCACAAGTGCAGCAGGATAGACTCAACAGCTTGAAACTCATCCCTTGTGCAGGGATGTTTTGTGGCTTTCCTATGTTGAGCTGCTACAGACAAAACAGAACACTGGTGACAACAAAGAGGAGGAACTTACCCTGCTCTTCTCACCCCACACTCTATTACAAGTGAAAAGCTGTCAGTATCTGCAAGACAGGAGATGGCACCACAAGAAAGCAACACCAGAAGATGCAGGCAGCATGCTCAGCTACTGTAAAAGCACAAGTGCCCTGTGGCTGCCTAGCTCCTCACCCACCCTGCAGTGCTAGGGTGAGGACCACAAGCCTGCTTCCAAGCTCCCTCCCAGGACCACTTCACACCAAGAGCCTCCTAACAGGGGCAAAGACGGAGACGTTACAGAGCACAAGCAGCAGCATTAACCCCAGGGAGCAGGGAATCCACCTCGCCGTGCTCTCTTCTCACCAAACATTGTGGTAGTCATGGCCACAGTGTGGGGCACGGGACATCACCTGCACCGCTCTGCCCTCAAGATCCTGCAGAGTTAGGGTGCCATCCCCTGATGCCACATAAAGCTTCGCTGCCTCATGGGGACTGAACTTGAGGTCTCCGAGAGAGTCTCCTGGCCCCTTCTGGAATACACACAAAGCCAAGAGGCATCAAGGTTAGAGGGGAAGACAGAATCTGAATGCAACACATCTCCTGGAACACGTTACTGGCTTCCCTAGGTACAATGCACTGCTGTCTCAAAGGGCATGGATCTAAGAAATGGTTTTTTTTCCTCTCATCTGTTTCCAATCTGAGCACAAACATTTGGAGCCTCTAAGCTCAACCCCACCACTTCAAGCTGCAAACCTCATTAGCAGCACTGCTGCTTCTGCTACAGGGGTGGCATTAATCTGCAGTGAACCACCTGGCTGAGACCAGGCTTAGGAGGTCACAAGCAAAACCAGCCCCACTTCATGCAGAAACCACATCGAGTCTCACGACAGCCTTGCACGAAGCTTTTCTTACAGAGACTTCATTCACCAGTCCCCTACAGGCCCCTTCCAGTGCTGTGTCTGGTCTTTCTCAAGGTGCCAGCAGGCAGGATGAGCCCAGTGCAAGCAGAAATCCTCCTGCTAACCCCATGGCACAGGGACGTTATGTTCTATGTGATATGGGTCTTATGTTGTTTTGCAGTGTTATTTTCCCCCAATCTGTCCACTGGGGAAATGTGGAAACTCCACCCAGAGACAGAAAAGGACACTAGCTGAGAGTCCCCAAACCTGATACTCAAGTGCACTCCATCTGCTGCTCACAGAGCAACTACCTAAAGTCTCACTGCACATACTAGATTTCAGGAAGCCAATGAGGATGAGCAAAGGCCTGCCCATAGGGCTTGCCTGTCCTCACAGCAGCAGGAGGATGGCAAATCCAGGCACCACTCCTGTCACAGTCACCCCAGTGGGATACAAGATCCTCACGTCCCAGGACCCAGTCTAGCCCTCCCTGTTCACCTGGCCAGTCATCCCAGCAGGCTTTACCTTCTGCCCTATTACAAGGTTGCAACTGGAGCAGCCACTTTGGAAGCCAAGCATGAAAGCTGCCAACCAGAAAGAATCAGGTGGGGAAAGGGCAAAGAGGGGGCTAACCCAAACTCCCTCACTTACCTTTAAGCACTGAACTGAAGTAACTAATGAAGAGCTCAGGCTTCCTCACGTGTCCATAGCAAAAGCAATGGTCTGAGAGGGTGATTCTATGCACAGGCAGACAGAGTTGCCTCTAGTGATTCATCTCCTCTTTCCACTCATTACTGAAGGAGACCAGACTCTTTAATTTTGATATTTTAGATAAATACTAAAAGCTGGGTGGGATGAATTGGGTGGGATGATCCTTACAATGCAAACCATTTGAGGTCAGTGGCATTTGTGGAGAAGCACTTAGGGGACTATAAATTGTCCAGTAAAAGCCATCAGACACCACTGCTAACAGGTGAAGAGGTTAGAAGGCCCCCAGGGCACAGAGCTATGGGAGGTTTAAGAACAGACAGCTAGGGAAATCCACTGGCACTCCTACACTCTCCCATGTAGAACAGAAAGTAAGCAGCAGTAAAGAGTCCCTCCCCTTCATGAAGAAAAGCTGCCTCATACCCACCACCCCATTTCAGGGAAAAATAAGGACTGAGTGAGCCTCCCTGGGAGAGGATCCCTGAAATTCAGAGGATAAAGGACACGTGTGTGGAGAAGAGGAAGCCCAGCTCCCACCTATTAGAGACAAACATCTCTCTCTCAATCTCTCTCTCTCTCTCTCTTGCTGCCAGCAGGACACAGAGGCCCAAACTCTGCTGTGTTTCTTACTCCCAGTCCTCGGTGCTGGTGAAGACCCGGACAGTATTGCCATTAAAATCCTGCAGGGTGGTGGTGCCGGCCACTGACGAAGTGTACAGCTGGCTAGGGTTAAAAGGGTTAAACTTCATTCCTGTGATGGCCCCTCCAGCTCCCATCTACAAGGAAGGGGATGAACAAGAGAAAGATCTGCTGAGTGATGGGGAAGGAGAAAAGCGTGTTCTGTAAGTCTGCATTCGCTGCTAGGTCCTTAACAGCAACAGTGAGACACAGCACAGCCCTTCAGGGAGACAAAACTGCAATTCCTTCAGTGCCCAGGCAGTGGACTCCCTGCCTGGCTGGCACCACACTGTTTACAAAGAGAGAAGGACGACCCTGAGATGTCTGGAGGATAGACCTCCTCCCAGTGGATATCTATGTTAAGTTAGAACGGGGATAAAAGTTACTGTCTCGGGCCCCTGTCAGAGTGGGAATGGCTGAATACAGCCCTGAGGGGGCATGCCAGTTATATAAACCATTCATTTGACCTTAGTTTCTCACTTAGATAAAGGGATTTTGTTTCTCCCCACTGAAAAATGTTGCCTCATCTGACGCAGAATAAAAAGTGGGCAGAGAAAGATCAAGACCCAAACCACAGACCCTCTCTCCCTACTTGTTTCTGGCATCCCTTCGAGATAAATGTTTTGCCAGCTACTGTATTAATTTTCCACTGAGTATGCATCAAGTATGGCTTCATTATGAAGTTAACATCCCTCAGCTCTCCCCAGTTCTAGAAGAGTCTGAGACACAGGACATGCCCAAGACCCTCACATGCTTCTCACAACAGCCCCCAGTTTTGTTCTGCAGTCATCGGTGGTACTCCCCTTTTCCCTCCCACCCGTTCCAGAGACTTACCCCTTTTATGAAGCAGGTTTTAGTGACTACTTCATAGTCCCAAAGGATGATGTCTCCACCTTTGGAACCAACAGCTATAGTACTGGGGTATGTTGGATGCCATTCCATGCAGGTCACCCTCCTGTCAAAGGGACTTGCTGTTCGGAAGAGGCGGTACGAGGCCAGAGAGCGCAGGAAGGGCCTCTGCAGACACTGCTCAGAAAAGAGAATCCACAGAATTATCACTTTGGCAGGATCCCTTTGGCAGAAATAGGGAATGAGAAACTATGACACCATAGTGTTGTTCTTCAGCTGAGGAATAGGCACTGCTTGCACGAGCTTGGTGCTTTCTGGACACTTAAAAGAGACAAATCACCTGGAAGATAAAGCCCTGGTGCTTCTGACCTATGGATGTTACAGAAAAAGTTCATTTTCAACTGAAAGAAAGAGTATGACTGAAAAACAATAAAACATGTCTGTGAAGAGGAAAAATCACCACTAAACCTGACATGACTAGCAAAAAAAATAGTCTGACAAAACAGTCAGACCAGCATGCAAAAGTAGCACTGTGCAATAACTCAGCTGGTCGAGTGGGTAAGCTGAAATATGATTGAAGGAAGCACAGTACAGAGGATAAAATGTAGAGTGACAGGGCCAGGTCAACAGAAAGGGGAAGCCACCTCAGCTCTTGCACTTGATAGGATTTCAAAACTTCAGGATGTGCCAGACTTGGAGCCACAAACTCTACGTGAGGAGCTTTAAGCCCCTTCAAAGTTTCCCTGCTCGCGTTGAAGATGTTTTTAGGTAGGGAGCTGAGATGTCCAACAGGTCAAGAAGGAGAAACTCCTCACCTGCCTGAGCTGTGCCCGAATGGAGCCTCCCAGCATGTTCTGATAGACATAATGAACAATGCTGCACTGCCTCGCCAGCTGGTGGAAAAGGACTCTGCTGTTCCTCACCATGGAACCACCTCCACTCCAACCTGCCAGAGGAGAAAAGAGGAAAGCTTGCTGAGAGCCAACCCCTGTCATGTTCATTCACTAAACAACACAGGAAGACATCTGCATTTGCTTCTGCATTCACAAAAAGCTTCATCCACAAAACAAATAATCCTAGAAATAATTCTTCCATGTCTAAGGTGCAGCAGCCTCTGCAATTCTGGAGTCCAGTGCTACCTACAGCCTGCCAGAGCTTTGCATACACATCCCCTTGTTAAACATTCCTTCTCCTTGCCAAAGGTGTATCAAAAACACAACAGGAGAGGACTAAAGCAACACCACAGGTGGTGTTTGGACAGCATACAACATGAGTGGTCCATACCCAAAATACAACAAAGCTTCCCAAAGCCCCAACAACTTGGAAATACCTCATGGGAAGTGGTAAGCCCCTGGCTGCAGCCAAGGAAGGTCAGATGTGTGACCAGCAGAAACATTACCACCTGAATCTTCCCCAGACAGTTCCTGCAATGCCTGCTTGTGAATCAGAATTTTCTATGTGCTCGTGCAGTGCCTGCACAGGCTGCCCACAGCACTGGGAGTTTTGTTTTTGATAACAGACTTGCTGACGCCTCACGGCCTGAAAACATTTCTGTGTGGAGTGATTTCTGCTGAGAGCACAACGTCCTTCTGCATTTGGTTCATGCTCCAAGTTTTTATCTTCAAGGACCTTTACATAAAAAGCCAGATCTGCTCAGTCCCGTGTCTGTGATCCAACCCTCCCCAGGGCAATGGTCTGAGACACCCCAGGGGATTTAGACATCAAATGCATTTCTTAAGAAACAAATAAATGCTATTTTTCATTTAAGGATATTTATAAAAAAAGACCAACAGAAGACCAGAAACATAGGGGTCATTCCATAGGATTAGAACCTAAACAAAATCTTTCTTTAATGCAACACTAGAGCCTAGAAATGCAGAGGTGTGAAAATAAAACTTGTGTGTCCACGTGCCAAGGTACCACCAACACTTCTCCCAGCTGCTGAAGCAGGTATAAAAGTATTTATATTCTCATTCCTTTTTTCACAGAAGAAACTGTATCTACAGTTCCTTTCTCAGAGGTGATCAGAATGGCAGAATTTCTTCCAAATCCCATTTTATTATGAAGGGTAATTTATTAAGAAACAAACTCTAGGCATTTTTAGAATCTGCTGGAAGGAAATCCCTTTTAAAAGGTGTTTCAATTGCAAAAAAATATGAACCCATCCTTCATGGCTCAGGAGGAAATTATTTTTTTTCCAAAACACAGGAAAATCACAACTGGAACAGAATGAAAAGCCTCCAATACAAAGTTATTAATCTTTTTCAAAAAGGTTTAAGGGAAAAATACAATTAGTCTCATTTTTCCAAATTATTACTGCATCAAATTTTCCCTGAAGCTTACAGAAACTGCAGATGCTTACAAAATCTGGAAATCAGGCTTGAAGTTACAATGAACATCATGTAGCTCAATTAACTAGAGAAGATGCTTTGACTCTCCACAATTACACACAGAACTCCTTTCAGGCACAGTATTTTGCCTCCACATCCCCTGTTCCCACTGCCAGCTGCTCCAAGTTTGGAGATACACACCAGACAAATGTACAAAATCACAGAACTCAGGAGGGGTAAAAACCACCTCAGTAATTTCTGGATCCCTAAAGCCAAAATTGTATAGGCAGTGTGTAATATTTCCACACAAGGCAGTAACTTTAGTGATCTCCCTATATAAACAATGGAATCACAGGTTTTATAGGAGAAAAGGAGGCTGGACTTGGTAGTGTTGGGTTAACAGTTGAACTTGATGATCTTTAGAGTCTTTCCAGTCTAAATGAATCTATGAAAATAGCCCTTACTTTAAGTCAAGTCTACACAGCTTTCCTGATAATATAAAGCATTGACCCTTCCAGGATCTTAGAACTTAAAACATCTCTCCTCATAATTGTTCTGTCCCACAATAAAGCAGACATCTGGTAATTCAGGAATTCCACAAAACTTAACCCCCTCAAATGAGCTGTGACTGTATCTTCAGTGAGAAGGCTTCTACCAAGGGGTAGAGAGTCTCAAAAATGAAATGCACACACTCCCTAGGCAGATAACAGGATTTACAGCACCAATACACATCCGTGTATCACTTCAATATATAACCTCAACCAAACCTTCATGCCTGAACGTGCTTCTTGGCATTTCCCCTCTTCAACTAGTTGATGCCTGTCATTTAGGGTTGGGAGAAACAGCAAGGATCTGAGGAAATGTTACCGATTTTCTCTGGAGGTTTGGGTGTTTTTCTCACAAAAAACCTCTTTGTTTGTGGCTCATTGCCTAGTTCCTCGTAGTCTGGTTTCCTCTTCCCAGCTGATTTTGCCTCTTCCATCCGATGCTCACGAGCCTTCTCATGCTTTTTGTCCTTTGGCTGGTTCACTAGAGCCATTGTCTGACCACTAAAAGCAAAGAAAGTAGACGAGGTTAGGCTGTCATACAGTTCCAACTACAGGACACAGGAAAACTGTAAGGAAACACATCCCAGTCGCCTCAAAGTAGTGGTTATACCTGCACCCTCTTTCATCAACATGACACTAGCTTTTTGTTGTGCTCTGCTGGAGAGGGGAACCGGTTCAATAAACTCTCTGTTCACACAGGAAAACGACCGTATCCTAAAGCATTACAATATGTTTTGACAGATGTGCTCCTACCAAACTTTTAAGCTCAAACCCCACATAACTGCATAAAGTACATCTGTGAAGCCGCACAATGCCCTAGCTGTTTCTCTGCTATCTCACTGAGCTCTTTAGATACAGAAAAAGGTCAGAGCTTTGATCATCGTGGCCAGAGCCGACCCGTCTTCTACCCAGAAGGTACTTCCTAATTAACGGCCACTCTTCCTTCACAACCGCCACCTGGGAGCGGGACCGGGTTCCTACACGGGCTGTCCACCGCGGCCGAGGTGCTCTCCCGGCGCTGTCCCTCGCTGTGACGAGGGCCGGAGCTCCGTCCCTCCCGGCGGCAAGGCG